TTTAATGTAACCCCCACCATCCAGGCAAATCTCTTAGGCTTTGGCCGGAAATCCCATCAAATTGGTCACCCCTCAAGAGCTAGACGTGAGATGGAATGAAGGAACAAATGTGGAAGCATTTCTCAGCAAGCATCCGTTAAGTATGAAGTCCCTTTCCAGAAGAAGTTGTTACAACCCCTTCCTCTAGCTCTCACAGGGGTCAAACACCAGCTCAGAGCCCTGTCATACAGTAAGTTCCACTCAAGAAGCCTTACTTTATCCTACAGATGGTCTTTAACGGAGCAACTATATGAATCCTGTTTAGCAATGATTTGTCAACCTTATCATTACGGGTTAGTCAAAATAAAATCAAAACAGGGTCGTTTATGTTATCGAATTCACGTGCCTCCTGAATACTGACATGTTGTGACTTGTATGCATTTTCCTCGCAGATAATCGCATATAGGCCTTCCCAATTGGATATTTCCTCTAAAAGGGTAACAGTTTTACTGGAAAGAACAGTTTGGCTGCCAAACGCATAACCCTCAATTGGTCATTACCGTCGCCCTCCAAATGGACGAGTGTGTAGTAGGTCCAACTGTACGGACCAACTGTTAAGGCTCAGGTTGCTGTATCTTCAGCACTACTTATCTCAATCAGTCATACACCCTGGACTTTTACGAAGCTTCTGGCATTCTACCATGTCGTATGACTGGGCAATCTTGGGTAAGGTTGACGGCTAACTTTATCTATCATCGCTTTTCTACGTTTCACTTGATACAACCATCCTTATCATTTGTATCCCCCCAACCACCGATGGAAATGGGTAACAACCAAGTTCTAGCCAATTCTAGTCCCAGGAACACCTCAGGTAAAGCCTCACCCCACCTACAAACTAGGGTCGGGGGCAAGAAGCCTAACCCCGCCGTAAAGGATCCCGGATCGACCTCAGGAGGACAGTCAAAACTGATACTTCCTGCAAAAATTCGAATTCCTGTCCCTTTGAACCCTTGTGCTTTAGTTTATCGAAGAGCATACCTTTCCGGTGGTACCAACCCAAACCCTAGCCTGCCTGTGAAGGCTGCCACCGAGAGAAGTACGAGAAGGAGACGAAGGTCTTTGACCAAGCCTTCTGGTCAGACTGGTGGCTGTCATACGCGTGGTCTCACCGTGGCCAAAAAGGATGCTACTTTAGAGCGCAACATAGGTGGTAAGTAGGTGGGTAAATAGTTAGTGTGATGGTGACATACTGAACCAATGTTACGCCTTCATGGCGCGCTGCCTGTGCACGTGATTCTGGTACATTTGCTCACAGTGCCGTATTGGGCCACTTTTTTCTACAGCCCCGCTTACGAAGGTCGACGAAGAAATTACAGTAGCTATCGTGATGCCGGCACCCACACAGGCCACTACTCGAGGTCCGTGCAACAAGAGTGTCAGCACCGTTCCCCGAGAAGTTACACCGGTGAATAGTCTAAAAAGACCTAAAAGACCACCAGGCACGCGACTAATCACAGTAATCCCTGACCCCGAAGTCACCTTGACGGCTGCCACTACTATACATGAGGAAAAATGGGTCATAGTGGAAAAGAAGGTGCACCCTTCCCATGAAAGCCCACTCACAGCATGCGGCAAGAGGGACGTTGATGACTGACCGAATTCCATCACCCTATTTAACATCCGTGCGTACCATGATAGCCCTCTTGAGAACAGAGGGTCTTTTGATAAACAGCAGTGGCAAGCGGTATGCGCCATACTAGGACTGGTTGGCTTAGAAGCAAAGCTGCGCTGGCTCCACAAAGGCAGCTACCCACCTTAGGGAAAGCCCCTGCTGATGGGAGTGACCCTTAGCTCGGCTAGGGAAGCGGAACGACTCTTTTTGTTGTTACACACGCTAGTCACCAACCGGTCATTCAACATTAGGACCAGGCCAGACCGGCCATGATCAGCTGCAGAAGTATCTCACGAGGCACCCCACATGCCGAAACCAACAATTGCGGTTGTTCACGGCGTACTGGAGCCAGCAACCGGCACATTGGTAGGGAAGTATGCTCACGACATCCGACAATGGTAGTGGTTGTCAGCGGGGTAGAGTTAAATGGGGTAGCGGCGGCAGCGGTCTGAAGACTATTGCGTCCCTCACATTTGACGACCATAACGTCACTCGGTCTCATGGCTATTAGCTTCGGGTGTCAAGAACTCTTAACCAGAGTACTGCAAACTCGGTACGCGAAGAAAGACAACATCAGCGAAAACGTTCGTACCTGCGAAAGCAGGCCCAGGATACTGCGTCAGCGGCAAACGACAGCCCCACCAAGTGCTGAAGTCACCATCACTGTCAGCGGGCAACATATCCGAACCTGCCTGCACTCTTTAAAACCCCCAGGAACCACAGTGGGAAAAAAGTGTTTGGCACGGTTTCACTGGAGCTGGCCGTCCTGCAGCAAGATTTGCCGTTGTGTGCGACCCCCTCCAGTCTGCCGCCACTAAGACACCCTATGTTGTCAGAAACATATTCATGCGTCATTACAGTAACGCGAGCGGACTTAGAAGTAAGGTGTGGGAATCGCCATCTCTCTGCTCCTGCCTTGTCCCAAAGACTGCAATCCTAACAGAAACTTGGTCATCACCTGATATTGGTAACATCGAAACTAGCATACAAGGTATGCGTCTGTTCCGGAGATACAGGGAGTTTGAGGAAGGAAGCGGAGTGGCAGTATCTATTGGTGGCCATCCTAAAAGTGAACGAGCCACCTAAACACTACTTTCAGGCCCCCCGGACTCCATCTGGTGTCACCTTACGGTTGGACACACCAAGTACTTGGTAGTGGGTGTCTGTGGAACTCCTACTAGCAACATGGAGCACAGCTGACAACCACTCCGAGCAATGTCCGAAGAGACTTCTTGAGGATGTGGTCAGGTCACTATAGCCGGCAAATTTAATGGAATAAAAGTAACTACTGCTTCGGCCCTCGAAAAGCTATCAAAGCTCCGGGTAGAGAAGTCGCCAGGATGTGATGACACCCCCCACTGGCTGTGTTGAAACAACGCACGGGTGCCTTGTTCAGTCCGCTGAGTGATCTGTTCCCAAACTCATTAGACAATCAAATGCTTCTACGAGAGTGGAAAAGTGCCATTCTGTCCGGTATCTTCAAAGGAGGAGGCAGGCGGTACCCAAAATGCTATCGATCCATAGCCCTTCTGCCAGTGGTGCCAAAAGTAGCGGAGAGCATGGTGGACAGCTATGCCAGAAAGTACTTGAAAGAGAGGGGAGCGCTGATGCCCACCATAGTTTCAGAATGGGGTAAATAATGCGCCTCAAACATTCTAGCAGCCAGTGATAAGTGGACGGCGTGTTGGGACCTCTAAATTCCTGTTTGTGTCATTTCCCTGGGTTTCGTTAGGGTATTTGACACAGCCCCACTATTCTATTCGTAAAATATTAACATTGGATATTGATGGTCAAGTCCTTTCCTGGTCACAGGACTATTCAGATGTCAGAGAATTCTCTACAGAAGCCTACAGAGTATGCTGGACTTTGAGGACATCATCATTTGTTTTATCACAAGGAGTGATTCTGGGTCCGCTGCAATTCCTTCCATTTGTGAGCGACCTCCCACTGAATCTCGGCTCCCTAATTCTATTTTATGCCGATGAAATTAAGCTACGGAGGACTGTGCCTCCTGAAACGGAAGCAAGCGCGCCGTAGAGTGATCTCAGATTACTTGTAGAGTGGGCGGACATTATTGGACTAACACAATCTGAATAAGTGCCGGGCCGTGCCCCTGATTCCTAGAAGGTTCCCTTTTCTCTCTGTGGAACGCAGCTCTCCCACACCACCACGGAGAAAGGCCTAGGACTAATACTGACTGACAAACTAGACATCAGCTGCAGTTATCCAGGAGGCGCCTCCAGAGCCTACGTAGCACTGCACTTAGTGCTCAGATAACTAGGTGCCCTGACCACAGAACTCTTTTTGAAGCTTTATAAGACCTACGTATGACATCACTTAGAGGCCCAGAAAGTCACTACACCAACATATCTGAAAAGAGATGTGGAGCTGCTGGCGAAAGTCCAAAGGAGAGCTACAGGGGGCGTCGTTAGAATGAGACGAAAACCCCAGGAGGACAGGCCTAGGACTCTACTCTCTGAGCTACCGTGGAATACAAAGTGGCTTGATGACGGCTTACAAAATACCAGGTAACCCAAGTCATGCAAACAGTGGAATCTTGCCGAACAGGCACCGTGGTGATCCTCTTGGTAACCCTAGGAGAATTGCTCACTAAAGGGCAAAAGCCCGCGTGCGTCCACACTTCTTCTTTCTGTGAGTCTGTGGCCACTGGAACGCATTGCCTGCTGAGACTGCTACTGCCCTGTTTGCTGGCAGCCCCAAGAAGAGGTTGGACAGTTACGCAACGACGCATGGCATGCGCTTATCCAGCTTGGATATGGACTAGGCTGACACGACTTGCTAACTCAGTACAACCAACCCCCTATCGGATGCGCCCTAAGACCACTGTCACTGCAGATTTGGCTCAGTCTTAAACTTCCCTATGGGCACCATTTACAGTTGCCGTCTCCTACCAATAGAATAACTTTCTGCATTCCCATAAGCTGTCTGATAGTGTTATTTTCTCCTTCCATTCCTACCGACTTTAAGTTCTCCCACTTTAATAGAAGCTCTCTCTATCACCCCTCTCCCATGAATCTACCAACGTTTCTACTTCCGTGCCTTCCTCTTTTTCCCAACCATTTTTCTACCGTTTTTTCCTCGCGCTTTCTCTCCTTTGATTTCTCTGGGCGTATTTTCCGTCTTTTTACAACCGGTCCTACCAATTGTCTGCTGGTACGACACTTGAGGAACCCATCTGCACCACAGTCCTTGGAAAAAAACAACATATACTCCCTTTAAATTTAATCAACACCCAACCGACAATAAGGCTAACTAGAGCTACAGTATTCGAGTGGGTGGACCTACTGCATCGGAATCCATCAGAGACTCGGAGCAGTTCCGCAAGACCTAGAAGCGAGCGAAAAGAAATCAGTTGGCTTACAATAGCTCGTAAAAAGGTATTGGATATCGGACAGAACGCTTCCAAGCATACAGGTATAGAAATACAGTTTACACACCATACATTTTGAAGTGTATATTGGACAAGGTTTATGTCTTTGAGCTTTCACTTCCTTTAACCGCCTGCTTCACTTCGTTATTCTCTTATCGCGATGATTAAAAGTTCAAAACAGTCATTAGGCCACTTCTGACAGGGGTTTATTTTAATGCAAAAAAATTAAATGTAAATATTTATGTCTACGACTTTTCTGGAAGGAAATCTCCAGATGTTATCATGAAGATGGTTTTCAGGTTATACTTGTAATATTTATCTGTATTTTGACTCCTGAGCTTGTCAGCGGGACTCGACATTTCCAGACATATCACACTAGATGACACGATTACCGTATAATCCTACTTCTGGATCTGCTGCTTGTGAACCTTTCAAGCCTTTTGGAATTGAACCGGGACTCGTGAAGCAGGTCAGGGAAAAGTTTCAGAGTGAAATATCAATGCGTGAGCTGTCAAGAAATCTTCAGAATGGTATGAAACATCACTCAGCAACAGCTCGTTTGACAAGTGCATACCATAATCTTTTGCATAATGAAGGTGGAATTCTGAGACATAACACGTACCCCAACAGAAGAATCCAGTCAGCAGGGAAGATTTCTGACTCCTCAAACTCAACAGACGTGGATATCAAAGCTTTATCCAAGCCCCTAAATGTGGAAAAGCGTTCGCTTATCAACAAAAACAAAAGAAACACTGGAAATCCTGAAAATGCTACAGTGCCTATTAAAAATTTTCTTGATGCTACCAAAAGTGATTATAGACCTGAAACTGCAGTATTTAGAAATAATTCAGTCAGCGTCTGTGAATATCAGGATAGATCATCACATAAAAGCAGTGGTGCAAATGAAGGCACGTGTCGTAAATCCTCTACATTTCCTAAGTTAAATGGATATGGAAGCAAGTTGAAGGAAAAAATTACACCTTCTAAATCAATTAACAAACCACATGTAGAGTTTAAACAACCAGTGGTACTTCCTAAGCCATCTAAAAGCGAGTTAAGTAAGGATCCCTTAGTTAATTTTGGCATACCCAAGGGATATCAAGCAACTAAACAGTCTAGCCAAAGCATATACAATGCTGATGAGTTTCATTACACGTGTAATTCCTCAAACTCACCCAACGAAGACGGCAGAAGTAAAAGTCCACGCCTAAAATTTGAAGTATACAGTAGTCCCCTGAATTCTGAAACGACTTGTAGGGGAGGGACAACCATTAAAATTGACACACGAACCATCCAGAATGCAGGCTCACCTACCAAACATACGGAAAGTAATTATGGTTATATGCCTAAAAATTTCAACTTTCCCACCAACTCTAATCATACAGCGAATGAAAGTAATGGTCAACCCTTGACACTAGGCAATGATGCTCTTCCAACATCAAGTAAATATTCTAAGGAATTAAAATGTCCACTTTCTAAAGCAGATGCTGCGAGCGATGGAACACAAAAACCTCCAGCGCATACACAAAAGGGTATTGTTAATAGTTCTGCTCAACCAAATGGAATTTTAAAAACGTCAGTGTCTTCGGTCATTATCAGCGACCCCAAGGTCAGTAGTTCTGCGTCTGTGTCCACGACATCATCAAATGTACCCTCACCTTCTCAATCTCTGTTCAATATTCAGAACGGAAATTTTTCTCCTCATTCCGTTAAGAAGAATCTCTCCAACGAAATCAATTGTAATAAAACCTTTGTGAAAAATGGAGAACATTCTGAGTGCGAGAAAACAAGTGATAATTTTGAGAAGATAGGGATTTCTTTTCCCTTTAATGGAGAAATTAGCAACAAGACTTCCTCTCCTACAAGAAGAATCACCTCATTACCGCATAAAAGCGAGTTTAAAACCAATACTTTGACACAAGTACTTCCCAGTCATATCAAATTTAACCCTGACGATGTTATGAAGGCTTCAGTAAGTTCTGTGGAGACTGGTGAATCAGAGAAATCTCCCGATTTTATTAAGGATTCCACTGTCTTGGAAAGAAATGAGGTCAAAAAGCAGTCTCATGACAAGGTGGCAGGCTACTTCAGTTCACAGGACGCTGGAAAAGTCCACTTATCAGAATTTGATACAACCCCTAAAGACAAAATAAGGTCTTGCAGTCTACCATACCACAAAAGGCAGGTAAATCATTCCGTCTTAGACAGCGTCATGGGCGAAATGGAGCAGCTTTTTTCAGGAAAACAAACAAATGCACTGAGCAAACAACCGAGGATACTCAGTTTTGCACGTGAAAAAGCCATGCAGTATAGAGAGGAAAAAGAAAACGACCTAGATAACCCAGCAAAATTTGGTAACGTAATGGAGTCAACAGAAACCAGTGTTAATGATCAGAAGACGGTTGCTCAAAATCCAAACGAGCATGCACCAACTGCGTCAACTTCATCTAAACAACAAAGGCAGTCAGAAAGCTTTCAGGCCGCATTGCAAGCAGTTGAAAAAAATCTAAAGTTAACTTCTGCTACAGAAAATAACCAGAGTTCGAATTTGAAACAGTTGCTAATGATAGTATTAAACGAACCAGCAGAAGTTTTGTCACAATTCGTCCTGGTTTCCCAGCAGTCAAGACAAGTTTGGCCGAGGAGTGTAATGTAAGTTGTTTTTTGTAAGAAGTTTATAAAACACTAGTCATTTTCACACCTTGCCATTTCTAAATATTATGATTTAACTATCTAAGATAGCCATAGTTTGGCAGACTAGTATTTGTACTGGGTGATGATTGAAAATGAGATGGAAATCTGAACCACGGCCGAGTTCCGGCTAGCAATCATCGGCCGCGGTCCAAATTTTCTTCTCACCTTCAATCACCACGCAGTATAAATTTACGAACATTTAAAAATGGGGTTGAATAGGTTTTCATGAGGATATCTGTCAACAGCTGTCAAGGATAATAACCGTTAAAGATATCTGGTGGTGTAAAACATGAATCACTTAGCAAGGTTCAGCTTAAAGACACATCTGACCTGATAAAATGCTTCATGTGCACTGGTAAAAGTTTGTTTTTATGCATCTCTAAGCTGTAAATCGTTTGAGGATTTAGATTAAAGGGGATCAATTTCAGCTCCTTCAAGTTCAGATGTTCATTTCCTTTTCAATCACTACACAGTAATAGTTGAAAATAAATGGAAAATGTACTAAGTAGTAGCGAAATATTGGAGTGTTTTCTTGATGATGAAAAGTAACAGAGTTCTTCTGTTACTCCAGCTCTTTCTGAACGTTTTCAGCACCAGTTAAAATGACTAACATGGCACCAAAGTATTCACAAGAACAGCTCCTCAGGCTCACAAGTAATAATATTAACAGTGAAGTGGTGAAAAACGCGAGTAAGGTATATTGCAGGCTTTTCTGTTGAAACTATCCCTGAAAAAGTAGGAGTTCTTTTCCTTGATCCGATGCATAGTGAACTGCGCAAAAGTCTAAAACGTAGGCAACCTTTATTAGAATATATGTCCATATCCACGTTATACTGCTTTATTTTTGGATGACTTTCGTTATTTTGAACGGTGAATTTAAAATCTTGATGTACACAGTTATATAAATTACTTGTAATAAGGGTAAAAGTTTGCTCTTTGAAAGTTTGCTTTCTAAACAGAACAGAAAAAATGCAGTCTTAGGGGCTTAGAAGATGAAGATTATGTTTGACGTTATCTCTCGATGCCGAATATATGCAGCAGAGATAGCAATCCACAAGAAAATGTAAAGCATAATCAATTGTTACTAATATCGCGAAACCTGATTTGTCAGGCTTCAATGATCGATGTTTCAAGGTACTGTTGGTTAGGTTATGTGGTACTGGTAACTTTGCAGCAGCCGAACGTTATAAGACTTACATTTGGTTTAACCTATTACTAAAAATTTAACAGAAAACGTATTTAAAGTCACATTATCCTCTATGATCTAGTGTTACTATTTGACAGAATAATTCATTCTGAAACCAAATTTTTTTAAAGCTATCTGCAAGCAACAATATGCCGGAAAGTTCGAGCACTATTTCATAAAACAACTGTACCCCATCTATTGTTCAAATTTATGAACATACCTTATCTGCATTTCTAATTACGTAAAAAAACATTGATGTTCATTTGTCCCATCTCCGTAAATATATTCAGAAAGGTATGTGTGGAAGACAGACTCATGTACATGGAAAGAAAATAACCTTCCCCATGTAATGATTTTATTTTGGTTTCATATCATGAAACTGTCTTTTTTGACAAAAAATAGGCTTGATAAGTTGCATCTAAAGATGTGGCTCTATTATATAACCTCAATATGTGACGTTTTAAGCACCAAATGCTAAATCTATGACCTTTGAATCGGTTTCATGGTAAAGTGTTATTTAGGAATTAGTAAACTGCGATTATTGCTTGTACACAAGCTCTATTTTACCAGAAGCTTATGCACAATGATAATGATTTTGCTTTTTAAGTATGGCTGCAAAACTTTTAATTTTACATTTAATACTTAGGAATATAATAACTGGCTAACAAGTAATTTTTCATTTCCGATTTCATTTTTCACGAAATAGATAAAATGCACAAATTATGTTGTCATTAACTTGAAGCTGCTGTACTACATAAATAATTGAAATTTTTTTATGATTTATTTGGTTATGGTTGCATTTTTTCTGAAAAATCAAACCTTGAAAATGCTTAAAGAATAAGGGATGAGCATCACTGTTTTGTCTCACATTTCCCATTTAAAATTCATGAGGATCTTTTAAAACATCTGGTTTACTAATGTGACATACAGTGGACTAATATTGGGCACCAGTTATGTATTGTCCAAAACTTCATTTATCGGAAAACTACTACTCCTTGCTTATGATTTGAATTCCTCTGTGTTTGGATATGTAGTTTTTATTAGCAACCAACTGGATATCATAATCAGTGGAGTCTAGGTTGTATCTAACTAAAATTTTGATGTTTTCTGGACTCCAAATTACTTTGCTGTGAAGGAGATTATGTAATAAAACTAAATCAAGTGGTTAAAATAGGCTAATGAACTTTCTCAGACTAAATAAAGTCCTCAGTGCGCGTGAATTGAATCTGATAAAAACAATCGATGCCAATTCTGCAAGTCGTATAGGATTCTTGATAAGCTGATGGAAAATAGTATCGCATATGATAAATATCTATAATAATTGGCAGTTGCCAGTGATTGGAACTTCTGTTTACATTGAGGAAATGAAATCATGGAAAATTAGATAGGGGAATTCGGCGCTCTTCGTTTTACCGACATACTATTTGTTTTCACAGCAGTAAGTTAGAAATGAGAAAAAGAAATTAAATGAAGCAATGTTCTGACAGTAAAATGGTAAAGTTAGTCAACTGTGCAAGAATGTTTTATCCTCGGATAATCCTATTAGCTGTTTAGTTCTATAACACTTAGTCCTGAATAAAGTTAACTCAGAAAGTCTTCACCATTAGTGTGAGTGACGCTATATTTGTATGCATTGTGTTTTGGGCTTAAATGTCGGGTGTCAATAAAGAAAACTTCATGCTTATCGACAATTATCAACATGGTAAATCTGTAACCATTGGAAACTGATGTTACCTCCGTGATTTGAAACTGCATCACTCAGTTATTGTCCACCAATATCACTTTATAAAGCGTTACCAACTATTTCATAGTGATTATTATTATTTTTCATCAATTATTCCAAATGGAACTGCTTTTCAATATGATGGTCAAGATATTTTTTAGTTAGTACCTTAGTTTCAAATACGCAGTTAACGATAAAAACACGAGAATAAGTTTCATGTCAGTAAAATAAAATGTAACATTTACAATTTTTAATATCTAGCTGAAGTATGCTTAGATGCTGGATCTGTAAGTAAGCAGGCCTTCTTTATTATGAAGGATCCTACTAAGTGGCAATAAGATGAGTGTATCAACACTATTCATGGACAGGTCCCCGCACAATATGCTTAATATGTATAAATAGTTACGCTTAAAGCTGAGTATATGAACTATTTTTCTTGTTTCACAGTTCAGAATTGCTTTCAAAATTTACTTTTAACCTATATTTAATAAACATCTGTTAAGTACATTTCAGTTGTTTTTCTGAAAAATAGTTTTCTGTCAGACGATTTACATAGAAGAAAATACATAGAATAATTCATCCAACTACTTGAACAGTATTTGGGTGTTAAGTTTATATAAGGAACATTTAAACTAGATAGATATTTATGACAGTCCAATGATGTTTGTAGATCAAACATTTGTAACTGCTTCGAAAAATTCCAGCTATTTAGCAAAGTAAATCAGCACAGTTCTGTACTCGTTACAAAATGAGGGGGGTTCATTCTGTTAGATGACACTTTACTATAAAACATATATCTACTTAATAGGTGATGCTTCCATTTGCAAAAGAAACGTGCTGATTTGTTTATGCTGAATAACACCGAGTATCTGAAAGTGTTCAGGATCTGAAGCTCATAAAATCATCAGATATCTAAAAACTTCAGTGTTTTTTTGGAAATATCATTACTGCCATATTTTATAAAAGTCTTATTGGAAATGGCTTCATTTATTGCTGCATAGCTCCTTTAATAGTTTCTGTCAGGTGTTTTATGCCACTTTTATGAGTAGGTGGAGTTTCTTTGTTGGCGGAAAGCAAATTATCAAGACTGCTTTCGGGTTCTTTTTTATCGTTTACATATCCGCAATGCAAAAACATTTTTATTTAATCATTTCTTTTAACTAATCATAAAATGTTTATTGATTGAATCGCAAACATATGCAAACAGTCTGCTTTCGAATCACTAATTCACTCAAAATTTCAGAATATTAGTCAAGATCTATTGAGGTATCATGAAAATTTATCAACTGAAAAACTGGTGTCTGGTACACCATCATCATCAACAAGTATGACAGCATATGGCGATGGTAAAAGTGCAATAAACAAATGGAAAACCACTTCCTGCTTACCAGTTTTGTCTCCAATAAGAAGAATGAAAGAGTGTTTAACACTAGAAGAAACTCAGATGGATGATAAAAGCCTAGCTAACTGTCAATCAAATGGAAAACTTAACTCATCTGAACTAAAATCGAATATGGAATGTGTAAAGCCACATCCATCTGTCGGTAAACCTAAAAAGTCTGTTACATTTTTAAGTCCAGATTCTAGTATGATACACAATATATCAAACGATTCGGGGGACACCTGTAGTGAAAATGATACTTCAGAGATAAATTCACTGAAAAATGTACATGCAAGTGAGTCAGATATCCTATGCAAACAGCGCGAACCTAAGTCTAGGACTAATTTTCCTCTGAAACCAGAAGCAGAAGGTTTAGTTAAACTAAAAGATGAAGATTATAGTGCACCAACTCAGTTTGTTCCCAGCGGTTTAAACCGCCAAATTTCGCAGCAGACGGATTCAGATCAGATGCATACAAACTCCAAAGACAAGAAAATTAATGATCGAGACAAAATATTTCTTGAGAATCGAAAGAAGCTGGAAATTCAACTGAGAAGACTTTTCGTTCCAACAAGTGAAGGTACTCCGAGTACGTCTCTAGTCCAGACAAATAAGAACAACAGTTCACTCGAATCTGTGCATCAAAATCTCAGGAAAAAATCTACATA